GTATTTTAAGGTTTTTTAGAGCATTTTTCGCCCTAGTTCGCTATATGTTGGTAATTAGAGTTCTAATAGAGTACTAAATACTCCTGTCAAAAATTATAAATATTAGTCCAATTTTTGGGTAGTCCCCATACAACTGTACTGCATGTTCACGCTTTCTGGCACCTGCCTAACAATGTATCAATATTTTCAAAAAATGTAAGCATTGGTAAACAATAAACAAGCGAAAAATCATTAAGTTCGGCCGGGTCGAACTTTGGATACCCTTTACCATAGATATAATGACAGGTACTAGAAATGAAAATATAGGGAACATGCCAAAAAGTGGACCTATACCGACATTTCTGAAAACGGATTATGTAAACCATAATACAAATTTCAGGAATGTTTAATGGATAATTATACCCTCAACCTTATGACTAATGAGGGTGTATACACTTTAACACGGTGAAAATGTGCCTCATCGAAATATTGGTTCTAAACCCCATGGACCAAATCAGTTTCAGAAAATTTAGATTTCATCCAAACTTTGCCCATCTTATTGTTTCTTCCAAACTTAATCGGGAATATCGGAGCTAGGTCTAAATGCGGCTATAGTTCATTATCGAAACTCCGCAGGTGAAATTACTACAACAGAGTCTTACAACTAAACCCAAAACGCGGAACAAATCAGATAACTATTTTAATATAAAAAGGGGGTTATATGGGGACTATCCCAAAAATGGGGCGAATATTAATAATTCTTGGTGGGGAGATTTGTTACCATATACGACTCCAAAATTTCCAAGCTGCAGCGAATTCGGTTGAAAAACGTGCTCAAGAACCCCAAAATACCGAAAATTCGGGGTACCCTTATATGGGGGCTATCCGAAAAAATTGACCTATATTGATAATTTTTTGTGGAAAGATTTGGTACCTATTAAGAGCTCAAAGTACCAAATTACAGCTAAATCGGCGGAATAATACAATCAAAAACTCCAAAGTACTACAAATTAGGAGGTACCTATATTTATAATTTATTGTGCAGACATTTAGTACCAAATAAGAATCCAATGTAGCAAATTTCAGAACTTGACCTGCCTGCAAAGACGACTCTATGCAAAATTTTGGCGATCTATCTCAATTCGTTTAGACGCTAGAGTGATTACAACAGACAGACGGATATGGCTATATCGTCATAGAATTTATACCCTCCACCACAGTATGGTGGATGGTATAAAAAGAGTAAAAATGTTGAAAATTTTTGAATCTAATGGATTATTAGAATTAATTCAAACTTATTAAATCTACATTAAATTATTAGACCAAACTAAGTAAATTATAATATATATACCAAAAATACCAACTGTATATGTAGTCTATCATTTCTTGTAACTCTCTACAAATTGTCAAAATTTTGAAAAATCATAAATCTCTTAAAAAGTTATTTGGGCATTGAACTATTCTATGTTAATCATAATTTAATAAGGATGCTGCATGAACACATGGACTCTGTCTTTTCAATATAGCATACAAATCTCAGGAGAAATGCCAAGAATATCATTTGAAATATGTTTCAAATTCCGTTTCATCATTCGCTTTTTGAAAATTGTATTTAACTGTATAGAGTACCATAGTGCGTATAAGTGTTGACAACATGTATACGCCACCAGTATCTTTATCATTTAAGATTGTTTCTAAATTGTAATAACGAAATATATTTTAAGAAAAAATATTTGAATTTTATCTGTTTCAGATTACCTCAATCAGGACAGATATACAAAAAACATGCCCCATAATTATTTTTTTTTATTTTGATATACAAATAGCTGTAGAAATATGCGGATTGTGCAATGACGCTTTGTCTAAACCTATAGAGCTTTGACATTTCGAACCTAGGTTGCTACTAGATGAGATACAAATATTTCGAATATGAAATAAAAAATTTAACATTGTTCTTATTTCTAAACAAACATATTTAAAAATCGGAGTACCACAAGTTGTATACGTATCGACAGTACGTATACGCCACCATTTGTCCATTATTTGGAGAAAGACAAAAGTTTCTTTTGGGAAAATTCAGTCAGAAGGACAAAATATGATTGAATTGCTAATATATGCTATCAAAATCTAATTATATGTATGACTTGAACCGTTGTCATTCCTATATATTTAGCCAAAAATTGCCTTTTTTTTCGTTTTACATAGAGGTCTTTGTATGTATTGACAATATGTATACGCCACCATTGCCACAATATTATTTTTTCTTCGACTTCACAATTTTATGATAGAAGATTTCACACTTTTTAACAGAGATGATGAATTTGTTTAATAAAATGATTAATAAATACATAAAATATGTTATATAATAGACATTTTTGTCTTCTTATTTCTTAATAATTATTAAAATTTAGTTGAGACTATTGGGTGTTGTTATTGAAATGATCAAAGAACCAGTTGGCGTATACGTGTTGTCAGCATGTATACGCAAAAATTCCCCCTTGTTTCAGTTTCGATGATCTTTCTAAGGAGGAGTTTTCTAATTTGCACCCAAATAGCTTTCAAATATGAATGAGTATCTGAATGAGTATCTTGTATGCGAAAAAAATCCCCCACTTTATCAGTTTAAATGAACTTTCTAATAAGGAATTTTCTAATTGACACCCAAATAGCTTTCAAATATGAATGATTTCAAATATGATGACTAATGACTTTAACAGATACTCCTATAAATTAAACCAAAAACGGTGGTCACGGTATGTTTATTATTATTTTTACAATAAGAGACCGTTGGTGCGTATAAGTATTGACAACATGTATACGCCACCATTCCCCGCTCATTTTATTTGCTTTAAAACGATGACATTCTAGTAGGATATATGCAATTGTTCGCCATGAGAAGTATAAAATATTTATAATATATACATTTTTTAATCCCAGACCTAGCTCATCGTGGACAGATTTCAATATCTTAACGAAGCTTTTTTCGTTGTAAAATTGTTCAACTTTAATTGGTCCCTAATATGAGTTTTATCAGCAGCCAAGTACCACTTGTGAGAAATCCTACATATTTTTTTTTTTTGTATTTATTTACAACACTTTTAATGAAAAAACTATAATTATAAATTTATTAAACAACAATGCGTTTTTATTAATTATTTAATAAAAAAAACTCTATTGTTTATACCACTATTCACACGGATAGTTATTTAATTTATTTATTATATAATAAAAAATTAATTTATTTCAATACATAAAAAAATTAATTCAATTATAATCAAACAATAACAACATATTAACATTTATATTGCAGGCATATATCAACGTATAGTGACACCAGCAACAACAACAACAAATACAACGACATCACTCTGCTATTGCTGCCACTGATTATAGCTGACTGGATAATTACAACAAACAAATAAACCGAGTCAAGTCAGGCAAACATTTTTCTTGCTGTTGTTGATTTTTTTCTTCTTCATTTTCCTGCTCTCTGTTCCCAGTCACATGACCTGCTTCGGCTGGTAAAGACTATTGCGGGACATGTCGGCGGCGGCTGCTCCTTGCATGCTACTCAAGTCAACTGTTGGCCTGTCAATTTAAATTTGAATTTTAAATAATGAACTAACATTTTCAATGACGTCGTCATCGCCATCGTCGTCGTTGCCATATGCCGGCTGGCTTAATGCATGTTGAAAGAAAGAAAGGAAGAGCCAAAAGGAAAATCGGAAAATAGTTGTGAGGCAAAAAACCCCACTTTAGCCACCCTCAATATAGAGGGAACGAGTCGGAGCCCAGTAAAACATAAAGAGTAGGAAAGAAGCCTCTATTTTTTCTGGGTCATCATTTGGATTGGATTACGTGCAACAAACTATGGTCATGTTTTTATGAAAGGGAAAATGAAAGAAAAGAGCAGTTAGCTGGCAGGGCCATTTACACTTTACTACAAAACGAGAAGAAGAAGAAGAAAAATAAACTAAACAATTGAAAGGCCAATAAATTTCGAAAACAAATCAAGTAAACATACACATATGAGTTTGACAAACAAAAGACAACAGAAGCAACAACAACAACACCTACAACAACAACGAATTTTTTGTTTCCTTGCTGGCCAAAAACTTTGTGCCCAAAAAGCCTCACATTCCACCCGCCCTGACAAAGGCAAACAGATTGGCCAAAAAACTTTATGGAGATTCATTCGTACAAAAAGACCACTACCACCAACAGTAAAACAAATCTTGACAACTGGCCAAAATAAATTTCTGAAATTGAACTAAATGTCTGCTGCCGTACGCTGGGCCCAAAAATAAATTCTCATCTCCACGAAAACACCCACAGCCAGTTCGGTTCGGATCTATTTCTATCTATGGATAGCCGGCAACAACAAGGAAACGGAAATAGCACAAGCCAAACAACGGATATACCAACGCCACACACACACAAACAGACAACAACAACAACATTTTTGTAATATTCCAACACACACATACGTACATACACAGACACCCGAACATAGAGCCTCAGCTAGTCAATGAGCAATGGCCAAAATTTTAAATTCCAAACTTGACTCTCATAAACTAAAAGCAGTTGCAGGCAAAGAACCACGTCATCAACGTCATTCGCATCAAGAAGAGAGGGAGGAGGAGGAGAAAGAGGAAGGGAGAGAGAAAAACTATATAAGCAAAAGAGGGCCAAAAAGTTTTCCCAAAACTTTTCATTGGCGAAATCGGCAGAATGAGTCACAGCAAAGGGCCTACATTCAAACAGATGGCGCCCAACATTATGCCACTTCACACATTAACACAAAATGCAGCAGCAACAACAACAAGAACAATATATCACAGCTAACATCAACAACACCCATGGTCCATATAATGCAAACACAACACCTGCAACCAGCTGACAACTATAGATCCCTAATAATGGAATCGACTACAAAGACTTATAATCCATCAATAACCCTGGCAGGCTCACCAACCAGCATCTCCTCTCCAACCTCCTCCTTATCACTGTCACTATGGCCCTCTTCATCAACACTCTACTCGAATTATAGCTGTTGTGTCTTAACCTATAATCTCTTTGCAGCCTATGCCGAGGCTGCCACACTACAGCTGAAACGTAAAACCTCACTGACAAAACTTTTCTATGCCGCCAGTGGTTGCTGGGGGCCAACAGCAGCCGGTCTGCGGCGTCACAATGATATGAGCAGTATTTGTTATCTAATACTGATGGCCTTTGTCTATTGGGGTGTTATGATACGGGCAGCGGTGGCCACGAATTTGGCTAACAATAATACACACTACGTGGCAACAACAAATGTCGTGGATGCCGCCTCAACTCTAAATGCCACAATGGAAAATTTCCCCAATAAAGATTTTCCTCTAAATTCACAAATCTTTGACCAATTTCCGACACACACAAATGCCAGCAGAGCAGTAGCAACAGATCTGAATAGTAGTAATACGTCTTCAAATTCTCAAGCTTTTCTATCTTTATCTACTTCTTCTTCTTCGTCACCGTCGTCGTCGTCACCTATCTCTTTGGATATTTTAAGCAATTATCAACGACGCCTATTAACACGTCGTGAAGCCGCCAATGTGCCTGATTTTGATGATGATGATTCCAGTTATCATGATGATGAATTTGATGAATATGAAACGTTAATTCGTAATAAATCTGGTAAGTGATAAATATTCTCCTACCTGAGTTCTTTAGGGTGTATGAGTGGTGACAACATGTATACGCAACAAGAACCACAATATTTTTGAGAAGTCAAAATTCTTTTGTGATTACTGCCAACCTTTGATCTTTTAGGTTTCCTTAGATTTTTGTTATGTTCGGCTCGAGGCCTAAATTTTAAATAGACAATATCTTACACAAACGAGATGGGAACCTGTTAAGCCTACTAATTTAGAAGGTACTTCGTGAGTACCACAGGGCGTATAAGTGTGGCTATATTTTAAAAATTTTCAATGTCGGACCCTAATAATTACTATGTCCTATGTACCTCATGAAGTATAACTGCTGACAACAATTTATTACAAATTATTTAAAACAGGATCTTTTTACACCTCTTGACGAATCACCAGGGCGTATAAGTATTGACAATATGTATACGCAAAATATTACCCCGTTTTTCTAGGAAACAAAAAAAATCGTATTTGAATAAATTTCTATTATAAACCAGTAAGGAAAGTAGTAAAGTCGGACGGGGCCGACTATATGATACCCTTCACCACTTTGGGTATATTCAACAGATGAATCCGAACAGACGTTGAAGGACCATAAACACGAAAATGGATCCATAAACAAGTCATTCTGCAACCTATACTAAATTTTTTATTTGGTCCAATATAGAGTTGCTATATATATATATATATATATATATAATGTGAAGCGATTTCAACGAGACTTGTAAGAGATTGACTTATATAAACTACAATTCATTGTACCAAATTTTGTGGCAATCAGACAAACTTTGGGTCTTTAGCGCACAATTTACATACACTCGGAAGAAAAAATATTTAGGAGCTATATCTAAATCTGAACCGATTTTCACGACACCTAAAACACATCATTCTAGACCAAATTCAGAATGCTATACCAAATTTCGTGCAAATCGAAAGATATATGGGGACTTTGGTACACCATTTACATTAAATCGGACGAAAATATATATGGGAGCTATATCTAAATCTAGATCGATTTTCAGGAAACTTAACACACATCTATCTAGACTTAATTCAGTACGCTGAGCCAAATTTCGTGCAAATCGAAAGATGTATAGGGACTTTGGTACACCATTTACATTAAATCGGACGAAAATATATATGGGAGCTATATCTAAATCTGAACCGATTTTTCCCAATTTCAATAGGGTTCGTCCTTGGGCCAAATAAGTGAGCTGTGCCAAATTTCATCCAAATCGGATAATAAATGCGACCTGTACTTTGTTTACAATTTAACATGGACAGACGGACGGACGGACATGCATAAATCGACTTAAAAAGTGATTCTATGCATATTCTCAAAAGGAACCATGTGCCTATCTCGTTTCCTTTTGCCTGTTACAAACATATGCACAAAGACATAATACCCTGTACCACAGTGTGATGAAGGGTACAAACATTTTATTTGTCAAACAATTTGAACTTATCTTATATCACTAGTTTAAAAAAATAAGCATACCTATACGTTTTGAGAACATGTATACGCACCAACTGATCCTTAAATTGTTGTGAGAACCTTTTTTCCTAAAACTGAAGTTTGAAATTTTTTTAAATAAAATTATATTTACAGTTTCTAAAATATTCTGCATTATCTAGGGCCAGGGAGTGTGGAGACTATTAACAACAAATGTATCTATCGTTCTTGAAAACGCATTTAATATCCATAGAATCGAAAAATTACCACTGCTGGAACACTATTCGCGACGCAGGCTACTTAAGATATCTTACAGGGCACGTTATAGCCTATAAGTTTTAAATAAATAATTTAATGTTAATGAAATGATTTCAATCGTATCCACTATATATTGAAAACTATTTAAACCTTATGAGCGGAGCAGTATAGTCGGACGGGGTCCATCATATAATACCCTACACAACTACTAATGAGCGACATGTTTTCGCAGATTTATATTCAGAGCGTGGGTAATATTTTCCGATATTTGCACACTCTTGACCGATTAGATGTCAACAGCTCTTCTGCAGCATCATTTGACCCGCTAAATATTGACCTCCATTATAATGACAGCCATTCGAATTAGGTGGTCAGAAGACTTACAAAAATATAAATGGGATCAATTTAAAGGTCAACCGCTCCTCTTGGATATGCTTTCGACTTATGTGGTCTATATCCTTCAGACTAAAAGGTGGGCTAAGACAAATATTTTGCGGCATCACAAACTCTTAGTGTCACACAAACATATAATAACCTTACAACATAGTCGGGTAACAATTTCATATAGAGAGAAAGGAGGAGAAAGAATAACAAGAAATAACGCGAGTTAGAGCCAATCGAGGGGTACAGGAGTCAGAACGAAGTCCGGCAATATTACCAACCAATAAAATACCAATCCGAAAGCTTTGGTGCAGACATATCCTCATATAGAGTTGAAAATGGAAACCAGATGACAGATAGAGATAGCGTTTTGAGGATCTGGAAGGGGCATTTAGCAAAGCTTTTGTAGCGGCGAAGAAGATACCTCAGAACCAATAACAGATGACGGTATAGATTGTATACCACCTAGCCATGATGAGATCGGAATATCAATTAATCGGTTGAAGAATAACAAAGCAAAAGGTACCGATGGATTACCAGCCGAACTATTCAACACAGGTGGACAGATACTGATCAGGATCATGCATCAACTGATTAGTACAATTTGGCAAGAGGAATACATGCCCAATGATAGGAACCTCAGCAACCTGTGATCTGTGCACAAAATGGCGACAAAAGGGCGAGGAATTAGTCTCCTTCCCATCGCATATAAAGTGCTATACAGCGGGCTGTGTGAAATACCAAAATCAGTGATATTATTTAATATTATCAATGCAGCTTCAGACCTAATCTTGGGATAGACTCACGAAAAACACATCGACACATTTCTGCTATTCGTCGACTAAAAATCCGCGTTCAACCGTCCAATCCCCCAAGAGTAGTTTACAGCCATGTCAGCGGTCAGAATTCCTGCAAAATTAATAATAAATAACAATTAAAAATAAATAACAATTTAAACAGTTAAAAGCGAAAAGGACCTCTCGGAGCCCTTTAATACCGAACGAGGATTAATATGACAGTTTTTCGTGTGATCTTTTTAACATTCAGCTGAAAAAGGTCATTCAAGATGCAAAGGTGAACAGATATGACAATCTGTATACCAAACAACACATGTTAATCGCCTACGCCGATAAAATCGGCATTATGGGTCGGACATTGCTAATGGTTACAGACACCTTTGAACGAATTGCCAAAGTGGGGCTGGAAGTAAATGACGGGAAGACCAAGCTGTTGGTATTAACGTGCAAGACGTCCAGTAGACTCAGGCCAACTGTGTAACTTGAGAACTACAGCTTCGAGGTAGTCAAAGATTTTACATTAAATTAATGACATCAGTTTTGAGATTCGGAGAAGGAGAGTGTTGGCCAACAGATCTACGTAAGGAATTTAAAACAAGGCCACCTCTCGCCTGACCAAACTCACACTCTGCAAGACGCTAATACTACCGTTATTGGTGTATTGATCTGAGGCATGGGTACTTGCGCAAGCAAATGAGGCCGCTCTTGTAGTTTTTGAAAGAAAAATTCTCCGAAACATCTACGGGCTGATCTGCGTCGACCACGAGTTGTACCATCTATACTTGGATGTCGACATCGTATCAAGCTGCATCGACTACGGTGGCTACGTCATGTTGTGAAAATGGATGAGAGTGGCCCAGTGCAAAAGGCATATAAAAGCGAGTCAACTGATAGTTCGCGTAAACGGGGAAGGCTACGAATTCGGTGTAGATATCAAGTGGAAAACAACTTCTTGGAATATGGTTTTTCAAATTGGAAGAGCTGCACGCCGACGCGCCTGGAAATATTTTTTAAGCTCGGCTTAGGGAACAAATGTTCTGAGTAAAATAAAAAAATTGCAAGTACGTCTATAAGTTCTGAAATGGGACCCATTGACACATTCCTTCTAGTATCTCCTCATAAAATTTTAAAACTTATAATTTTTTAATGTACATATGTTAAAGACAGAGGGTATAGATATATCGTGGCAACCCTATGGAAATCATATTGCAGGTCTTCTACCCAAGGAAAATACATGAATGGACTTCTAAGTATTGGAACTTAAAATAGTTTTTTATCTATCCATCTGCTGAAGATCTCTCGATTCAGAGAAGTACTATTTTACGTGGGCTTTGAAGCTCTTTAAATGCTCAAAAATATAGAATATATTCTGTCTATTGAAAACCTGTAGATTTCTTCACGAGGTCTACTATATATTTTTCATGAAAATGAACAAATGGTTTTTGAACGCTTCAACAGCTTTTCGAGGCAACAATAATCGTCAAACCTGCATTTTTCACTTGATTCTTGTATAAAAAGTAGTAATTGGGCGCATTTTGCCCCGTCAAAGAGGCTCTGATTTGTCTCTACAGACAAAAAAAAACAGTCAATCATTCACCTTGAAGTAATTCTTCCACGAGCAATATTCATTGGATTTGGCTCGTCTTCAAAGGTTTTTGATTTTTTCGGGCTCATATACATAGATTCATCAATTGTCACCTGTGATGATCATTTAATCGTCCTAGTGATCTTTTTGTTTATTGTCCCTCAATCCAGACGAGTATTTCTTTGGCGAGTGTCGACGTGTGCTGACTCCAACGAGAACATGCAAAATCAAATGTACTATGCTAGTATTTCTATCCAAGGATGCTTTTTCCTCCCATAATATTGCCCTCGTAACTTATAGATGCCCTTTATAAGACTTTCAAAAATTCGACATCATCCCCAATCATAAATGGCAAGCGAACAGTGACATATTGGTTAAGTTCGATGTGCCTGACACACACCAAAAAAAAAAAAAAACAAACTTTATTTTACAATGCCGAACAATTTCTCCGTTCAAAACTTTGTTCATTATCTAACGGTGAAATGATATATCCTGATTATTCGATCTTTCGCAGATTGCAAAATCATGAATCACGTCATGTAGTAAATTTTGAACTTTGATAACAACAAAAATTTGTTTCCAAAAATCCCATTCTTCAACAAATAAAATATCTATTAGGCATTGTTGTTATTGTTGTAATAATACTTGACCTTTTATGCAAAAGACAAAAGAAAGCCACGAACGAGCCAACCAACATATATGCATACCTATGTGTGAGCGTCTGTGTGTGTTGGTCTATCCTAAGTGCCATCGAAATGACTTTATGCATGTGTGGAGGGAAAATTGTTCAATGGTCCTCCTCGTTCTTTTGTTCTTGTCGTTGTTGTTGTTATTCTTTGAACTTTTATTGTTTGCATAACGTTTATCACAGTTTCATGAATTGTGTGTGTGGGTGTGTGGTGGTGGTGATCGTGTGTGTGTATGTTTGTGCGATTGTGTGTTTGCGTGAGTCTATATAACCAAAAAATGGCAGCATGGCAATATTTTCTGTTAGCCTTCTCCCCCGAAAAAATATCGATAAAGAATGTATGACTATACGGTGCTGCCGTTGTTGTTCTTGGTATTTTTGCCAAATATTTAAACTTTTATGTGTGAGTGAGTCCGTGTGTGTGTGTGCGGTCATAAATTATCTGCATAGATGCACAGGGCCAGTAAATGCCAAAGTTATGTGGGAGCGGTTAAGGTAGGGGGAGTAGTGTATAAACTATTATATAATTGTACTAACTTTTTTACTACGTCCCTGGTTTCAATTATATAGCCTGGGCTATATACAACTCAAAGTTAACTAAAATATGCACTCACATATATATACTCGTATATACGTGTAGGTGTAGTTGTACCTGTATTGGTGCTCCAACCAAATTACATTTAGTTTTTATGCTAACCAGGCATGTGGATAATTTCCTTTGGCAACATTGTGGTCAGGTTATTTGGTTTGGTTCGACATGTAAATATGGCCAATCTATGCCATGGTTTAAAAAGTCAATATTTGAGATTTTTTGTTGGGTTTGGATTTGTGTTGAGGAATGGGAAAAATAGTTTTCAAATTAATTGCGTATTGATTTAAAAATAAATTATACTGGAAAAGATTTAAAACCGGTGGAGGGAAGAAGTACCGTACAAATCAACTAGGGGATATATCCAAAACTATTCTGTCCAGTACGACATAAAAAACTGCAAACAGGATCCTTTACCTGGACAAAATTATTAGGTCTCACCACCTACATAACACACAATCAGAGGATACTGAATACCGTTTTGAAAGATAAACTTTATATTCATTCGGGAACTACAAACAATTAAAAAAGTCGTTGAGTTTGGCCGTTCCGCACTTCTAATTGTGTGCAAATAATTTGATTACGCTCGGAAACAATTACAGACCCTCAGTATGGAAAACTGGCAAGGAATTACAACATACTCATATAGAAAAATTTCTCCTATCTATTTTCTATGTAGGACCGGTTCTGGCCAGAGAAGAACCCTATTTTTTTAAAAAAAATGATACTTTAAATTTAGTGAAAAATTGACCAAATAAATAATGTTGCTGGTCGCTCGAACATCACGATATTTTACATGGAGAGGGATAAGCATGCCAGTTTTAATAAAGATCGGCCAATATGTGTCAAAAAGCCTCGAACTTGAAAGTGGCAAAATCTCTCTCCTATAGGCTATATATTAGTTTGGTGGAAAATCCATTATTTTTTTCGGCTGTACTGATAGATTTCTCGTAAAGTATCGATCAAACAATTTCAGATTTATGCTCGTTGGAAAGGTAACATTTTGCAGAAAAAAATATTTCGATGAATTACAAACGGAATGACAAATGTAATAAACCCTCTATACTATGGTTGAGGGCCCTCCAACGTATAAACAAAGTATAAAATAAGTTCTCTACATTTTTTGGTGACATTTTGACTCAGCAGACCTCAGTTGACCCATAGTTTTTTACAAATATTCTGTCCTTCTTTCTAGTCCCCTGGCATTATTTTTTGACGCCATAGAAATCTGTATGGCCTCTGGCTCTGACTATATAAGACGAATGTTCTCTGACTACTGAAGATCTTCCTGTAGTCTTGTGATTTCAGATGACATCCTAGTGGGCTATAGGCTATAGAAGAGGTATTCTAATTGTAAAAGACCTCTTTGTTATAAAAGGCCTTCTATGGGGTTGTTTTGATAAAGAAGGACTCCCAGAAGCTTTTATAAACATAACCGAGGCTGGTAGAAAGTCTCTAAGACCTTCCAAAAGTGTTTTCGTTATAGTATGGAAGCTACAGAAGACCTCTCAGATTTATTTTGCTTACAGAAGTCCTACTAAATGTCTTGGGGCTTTAGATGACCTCCAGGGGTCATTTTGTTATATAAGGCCTTCTCGAGCTAGAATAGCTAGAGGACTTTTTGTTATAGGGTTTCTCGTTATAAAACACCTCTCAGATATAGAAGATATCTGCAGAGAACATTTTGTTATATAAGGCTTTCTAGATCCTGGAGGACTTTTTGTTATAGAAGGACACCTAGGTGTCTTTTATAAAACAATTCCCCTGATCGAGGCTACAGAAGAACTCTTACTTTTCATTGTGGCTACAGAAGTCTTGTGGATTCAGATGACCACCACATTGTGATCTTTTAGAAGTTTTCTGCCAGTATAAAACCTCTCAAAGATATCGAGAGAAAACCTCTCAAATTTACTCTGTCTGCTATTCTCTGCCAGTATAAAACCTGCGAGAGTATTTCTAGTTATAGAAGAGGCTTTCAAACCGAAGAAGACCTTCCAGAGACCTCCCCATAGACCTTGAAGAGATTTTCTCAAGGCAACATAAGACCTCTCAGATTTTCTCTGGCTGTATACAAGAAGTCTTGTGGTTTTAGAGTTTCGGGCCATAGATGACCTACTAGAATTTTTCTGCTTATAGAAAATTTGTCTGGAGGTCTGTTGGCTAAAGAAGATCTTTCAGGTATAGAAAAGGCATCTCGAGATATTTTTACTAGCGGTCATAGAAAACTTTTCAAAGATTTTCTCTGGCAAAAGGAGATCTGCTAGAGGACTGATGGTTCTAGAAGAGGTTTAGTGAGTAAAGAAGACCCCATTTATATTTATTTTTGCTGCTGATAAAAGGTTTCTTATACCTTCTAAGGATTTTATCGTGATAAGAGACCTCTCACATATATTTTTGATATATCAGGTATCCTCCAATGACTTAGTAGATCTCCAAGAAGGCTTCCAAATATCTTCTAGAGGTTTTCTTATTAAAGCCTAGGTCTATGGGGCCTGTTTTTTATATAGAATATCATTTTGTGTTCATCAGGTTAGAGAAGGGCTTTCAAAATCTTCCCAAGGAAAAGAAACCCAGCTAGAGTTTTGTTGCGTATATAAGATGTCCATAGAGGTATTTTTTATTATAGAAGGCGTCGGCGAGGACTGAGAAGAATAAAATGCATTTCAGAGTTATTTTATCCTCCAAGGCCATTGTATTTCCACAAGAAGGCTTACTAAGACATTATAGATTTCTTCTATCTATTAGAGAATAGCTAAAAGTCTTTGGGCCCTGTTCATTATACAGAAGATCATTTGTATGTATGTTGGCTATCGTAGAAGTTTTCTGGCTGAAGAAGGTCTCCTATAAGTTTTTGTCATTTTATGGCCTTATGGACTTCTAGAGGTATTCTCGTCATAAAAATCCTATCAGTGATATCTGTGCTATGTCAAATCTCTGCAGAGGCCTTTGAATATGTTTTTTATTTACAAGATCATTTAGGGTAATTCAGGAAGTTTTAAAGATCTTCTAGATGTAGAACGATTTATTGATGTCTCCTAGATAGCCAAAGATTTTTTCGTTACACAAGGCCTTCGAGAGTAATTTTGGCATTATGGAAGTCATTTAAGAAGTATTGTTGTCTCTTACTTATAAGACCATCGTAGGGCTCTTCAAGATTATAGATGATTTCCAAATGGTTTTCTGGCTTACGAAGTCCTCTGACTTTAAAAGACCAATTGCAGGTTTTTGGCGATCTGCTTTAGATAAAGGACCACAGTGAATCCTTCAGTTCATAGAAGACTTATCTAAAATCTTCTGGGAGTGAGACGGCCTCCCAGATCTCACCTTACCCTTTTAACTTACCTTATCGATTTTCATTAAAACTTTTATTCACATTTATTTTTCTTCCCATTACAGCCAAAGGTAAATATATCGGTGCCCCATGCAATAATATGACATGTGAGCCCACTTTGTTGCATGTCACCTGTGATAAGGAGACACAAATATGCGGCTGTGAAAAAGGTTATCCCGTAACAATTGGTTTGACCAGAGGATGTGATAAACGTAAGTAAATAGAACTTCGTGAAGCTAATAAAAATTTGCTAACATTGTTTTATCTTCTTGCCTACTTCGTCGGTTCACCCTTTCCCCATTATACAGCCAAAAAACTGGGCGAAATGTGTTTCTATGACGAGACATGCCAGTTCAATGATGAAAACTCCCTTTGTGTTCAGGTGCGTCACAATGCCATGTGCCAGTGTGTGAATGGCTATCATTCGGTGAGCTTAAATAAACCATCACGTCGTGTCTTCTGTACTCCAGGTAAGTCGAAGAAGAAGAAGAAGAAAAATAAACTAACCATTAATATTCATTTTTTAAAGAACAAATAGGGAAGGGAAAAGTTATTTATTTTCTGTAGCAACAAAGTTATGTCTAGGATGTTTTGTTTTATAAAACAAAGGGGGAGGTTGGGAGTTTGTGATGATAAATAAACTTTGTCCTTATCCAGTAGAGAAAACTGAAAACGAAGTTTGAAGAAAAAAACAACACAAATCCCATCTAATTTATGTTGGAAGTAGTCCGCGAAGGAACAATGGGGATAATATAATAAATAATAGTTCGTGGTATTTTTAAAAATTGAAGAAGATGCGGGAAACTTTCAGGACTCTGCTCCATGGAAATAAGGCATCAAGGGATGGTATTCTAGATTTAAACTGTATGGGAAGATACAGGAGCCTTGAAAGAAGTGGGCGCTTTGATAACATTTTTAAGCAATTAAAGTCGTAAGGTATTGAAACATTAGGGTATCCTTATCCATATTCTATAGGACCTCTGTCAGAAAATGAACCCGTATTTAGAGGGAGGATATTAGTTTGAAAATGACCCCATCCTTTTCAGACAATTTGGAGTCTTTTATAAATGTCCGTCTGACTGGCTACTATCGAAGTGAGAAACTGTTTCCATTCAAATTTTGCCCATCTTAATATTTTTCTCAAATTTAGTTCAAGTTGGAAAATGGGGTATATCGGTACCTCCCCCACAAAATGGTCAAATTGTGAAAAAACCAATTTTATAATATTATGCGAACGGACTATCCGATTTAAACCAAACTTTGAATAACCTATTATCTTTACCAAATTTGCAGATAGGACCCGCTGGTCCATTCCTTATTTCAATATCAGACGAATGAAATGTCCGAACTTTCAACAATCTATTATCTTTACCACGCCCAGATCAAGTCCAAAGGTGGGAACCGCCTGCCCTCTCCTCTGGTACCTCCCCCAAAAAGTGTCAATATTATATAAAGTTCCAAATCTGAAACATCTTTGATAAAAAAAATACCTTATATAAAACAAATAATAAAACCTGTGTGTAACTCCAAAAACCTCGTCCGCAAACCATATGGTGAGGGTATATATCTGTCGGCAACACCGACTAACACTTCTTTACTTTTTTAATTGACGTTAATATTTTCTGGCCAAAAAAGAGTGTCCACGACGTTTAGACTTTATTTTTTATTTTGATTTCTTCCCTTCCTACGAAAAATTATAATTATCGTACGGTCGTTGGTCCCGATATGAGGAAAGGTTCAGTCCCTTTATAGGTATTTTGATTCCCTAGGACCATTTTAAGATTTGTAGATTCATATCTACATTCGTTTTTTTAAACCAAATGATACCCTACACAACTACAACTGAGCTCTATGTTTCTGCGGATCTTTATTACGAGCTTTGCAAATATTTCGCGATGTGTTTTCTTCCGCGGCATCTTTTCCGAAACATATTTTCCCGGAGTAAAAATCTACACCGTATGATTGAAATGTTGTCGTTTTACACAAAAAAACGTTAATTTGACCCGCTAACCCGTCCATGACAGTCATTCGAATTTGTAGGTGAGATCGTCTTCCCCATGGATAATTTGTGATGTTCGGCTTATGTTTGTGCATCTAGAACGAGTAGAAACTTAGCTACTTGTGACAGAACTTTCGTTCCATAAACCGAGCTTAAAAAAAATTTCCAAGCACTTCGGTCCTGTGTGCATCTCAACCAATTTAAAAGACCATTTTCAGAGATGTTGTCTTCTACTTGATCTTTCCATCGGATTCGTGGCCTTTCCTTCTGCGTGAACCAACACTTGGTTCGCTTTTATATGCCTTTTGAGCTGGGGCATCTTCAACCATTCTCACAACATGGCCTATCCAACGTAGTCGCTGCAGCTCGATCCGTCTGACTATGTCGATGTCCGAAAATAGTTGGTACAACTCATGGTTCATTCGACTTACTTAGACCATAGTAACATCTATTGGCCATCACTATCCTTCTCCGAATTTCAAAACTGATGTGATTAGTTTTATGTATGGTGGTATCAAGGTATATAAAATCGTTAACTACCACGAAGCTGTAGTTCTCAAGTTCCATAGTTGGTCCGAGTCTACTGGACGTCTTGCGCGTTGATACCATCAGCTTGGTTTTCTCGCCATTTACTGCCAGACCCACTTTGGCAGAATCTTTCTCAATTTGTTCAAATGTATCTGTTACCGCTCGCAATGTTCGACCCATTATTTCGATGTCATCGGCGTGGGCGAGTAACATGTGTTGTTTGGTATACAGAGTGTCATTTCTGTTCACCTTTGCCTCTCGTATGACCTTTTCCAGCAGGATGTAAAAAGGTCACACGACAAACTGTCACCTTGTCTGAATCCTCGTTCGGTATTGAAGGGCTCCGAGAGGTCCTTTCCGAAGTTAACTGCTGATCTTGTGCCACTCAAAGTTATCCTGGCTAGCCGTATTTATTTTGCAGGAATGCCGAACGTAGACATGGCTTTAAACACCTCTGAACGGATAGGGATGTCGAATGCGGCTTTATAGTCGACGAATAGATGGAATGTGTCGATGTGTCTTTCGTGGGGCTACCAGATCTGAAGCCGCATTGGTATGGTCCAATAATGTCATTGATCATTGGCTTCAGTCGTTAACACAGCACACTTGATAGCACTTTATATACGATGTGAAGGAGACTTATTCCTCTATAGTTGGTACATATTGTCTTGTCTCCTTTTTTGTACACGGGACACAGGATGCTGAGGTTCCATTCATTGGGCATGCATTCCTCTAGCCAAATTGTACTAATCAGCTGGTGCATGCTTCTGACCAGCATCTGACCACCAGTCTGGAATATTTCGGCTGGTAACCTATCGGTACCTGCTGCTTTATTAGTCTTCAGTCGATTGATAGAGCGACTAGACAAAATTAAGTTTTCGGTCCATTTCATTCTCGAAATATCATCGGATCGTCAACGAAAATAGGGGTCTTATTTAGCCAGATTCCGTCCTGCATGCAAAATTTCGTGACGATTGGTTCACAACTGTGGCCTGCGTCGTGTTTACAAATTATAATGGACAGATGGTGGGACTCAAGTGTAGATCGACTCAACTAGTCGAGATATGATCGGTATGCTCAAAAGTGGGTCTATGACCAACTCTTGGGGCCACACAAAAGCTATAATAATTTTACAACATAGTTGTGTAGGGTATAACTATTTATTAAAGCGAACTTCATATCCCGAGCAGATTAATCTATCCAGCTATGTGTGTCCTTCGGTCCGTCTGCCCCTTATAATTTGTTAGCAAAGTACAGGACGCAGTAATGGATCAATTATCATAAAATTTTGTACGTAGATCCGTTTCTGATCACAAGCAACACCACTGATAAATATCGGTTAACATTTAGGGAATGAAATGGACCAATAATGTTTGTTTGTTTTCCTGATCGCGTGAACAAGTATGGCTGCTTTGATGATGATACCCGGGTCAAATGTACCATGATTTTTGTGTGAAAAATTAGTATTTTTACGTGGTGTTATATCCCATTATTTTTGTGTTTTCCTATTCGCTCTAGAGATAATAACTAAAGTCTAGAGGTCATAAAGTTTTCATGCATAAAGGTCTCGGAATTTTGTTCCGCAGAAATTATCAATTTCCGTGATATCAGTCTCTTTATATTTCTTCGCTCACTGATTTTAAATATAATTTATTATTTTCATCTCTCTCCTTCTTCCTTACCAGATCTAGACGAATTAAATTCCGATCTGCCAACACTGTTGGGTGTATGCGTCGGCATTGGAGTACTGGCCGGTCTAATATGCATGGTTCTGCATCTGTTTAGTAAAACCAAATATCCAAGGCATCGGAATTTCGGTGATGCGAATTTACCGCCACCTATAATGTATTCAAGTGAAACAGGTAATGTTTGACGATTTGACCATAACACAACGAGACAAGTATCACACACATCCACACATACATCGGAGAGAAGAGAGAGCATTCACCGCTCTCTTCTCAGTCGCTGGCTTGTCAAACGACAAGCCTTCTTTACATTTGTAGTTGTAGCTCGTTCGTTCATTAACCCATTGTTGTCGTTTTTTTGTTTGGTTTTCTTTTTTTAATTTTCTTTCCAAAAAACAAAAAAAACATTTGCTCTTTGGTTTCTTTGTGAATCTGATGTCTCTTCACGTTCGCCAGGTATTCACCATCAACGCCATTACACAGTGCAATCCGGTCGTCCATCATCACGTTCGAGTATACGCTCCAGTGGCGGCTCAATCGGTTCCTATGGCAATCGTCGTTCGTCCACGGGTGGTGTTACATCAACAACGGCCGGTTCCAAGGGCATACTGGTATCGACGTCACGCACAGGTGCGGCTAGATCGGCCGCCATATTGCTTATATCGTGTCACTTGTCAACCTTATCGAAACAGAATCTCGCCTCGAGGGCGACCTCGCGCCAGACCTCCGGTGCTGGCTGCAGTGCCAATTCGCGCGACAACCTCGACGAGAACGGATCGGATCCGGGCAGTCGAAGTTGCGATAGTACCTTGTCGATGACACGGCACCTGCAAAAGCAACTGAATCATCAGCGTCAGTTGCTGAGCTTCGAGCTGTCGCCGGCGAAGACAAAAAATCATGATAGAGTTCGAGCCCTGTTGGGCCTCAATGGCATTGAGAATATCAATGATGATGATGAAGAAGAAATGAATAGTTTAGATAATGGCCATTTAGTAATTGGTGCGCTGCCGACACCGGCCAGTGAAACGCCAAGATTTGCGGTAAACGAACTTTTCCACAAACAAAAGCAAAACAAACAAAAAAACACAAAACCAAAAACAAACAAAAATCTTCCCATGAAAAAACACTCACACACAAACAAACCCAAGACACCAACTCTCTCTCTCAGAGACATTTTACACCAAACCAAAATCTACGTTCTCTCTTTCCTTCTCGAAAAGACCCCCAAAATAACAACAACTACCACATTTACCCATACACGTACACCTGTAATTTATGGTCATTATTCCAAAAACAACAACACCAACAACAAAATCGGAAAATTGGAAAAGCAAATATTCAAAAATACAACAATTCCCAAACACCTACTCTTTCCCATCCTCTCTTATACTTACATCCATCCAACCACCTACCCAACAACAAAAAGCAATGCAACACACATACATTCACACACACCCACATACACCCCAACACAACACAATTTACCTCTTTTTTTCTCTCTCTCAATCTCTTATCCGTATCCGTATTCTCGTATTTGATTGATGGTAGAGTTGGTTGCAGTTTTTTAGTGTGTTCTAGACTTGCTGATGTTGTTGTTGTTGTGTTGTGTTGTCGTTGATACCAAGAACGAGACTCTTGATACACCTATGTTGTTGTACTGCCTCCTTTAAAATAAATTAACTTACTTATCTATATCTACATATAATTTGTTTGTTTTTTTTTCTGTCTGTCCATCCATCCATCCGGTCATCCATTCATTCATCCGTCCGTACTTCGTATTGATTGTATATCGCATTATAAGATTGTAAATTGTGTATCGTGTATGGACAATGTTTGTATGTAAAATACGTACGGAGGATGCATTTAATTACGTTCGGAAACACCATATCCCACAACTATAATGAAAGAAGCTCTCCATATATGTTTACCAGTTGCAGAATTATAAACTTGTAGATAGGAAATATTCTAAGACCTCCAAAAAGTCTTCTATAGATAAAAGACTTCCTTGAACTTTTTTGAACATAAATGACCTCGAACAGCGCTTCTTACTAAAGACTATAATTTTCGTTAACGAATTTATTTTGAAATCCTAACTTACTAGATCTGTAAGGTCGTCTATCCAGTGTGGCCAGTCTATCCTGTGCCTACCAGATTTACTGTTGTATCAGATTAGTATGGCAATCATCATTGAAGAAACCTCCACGGAAGAAGACTTCTTCGAAAACTTCTTCTTCTAGACACATAACCAGTCCTTTCGGAAAATACCAGTCCTGTCTTAAGTACGCCAGAGTTCACGACAGATATTTAATTCTAACGATGGCTATAGCAAGAAAACAATCAGATGTTTTAGGTACGATGTTTTTTCGGATCATTTGGTCATTAAAACAAGGAGTGATATGGAAAGATTCCCGTACAATTTGGCTCAGGTCATTTATTTGGCTCAAGGACGAACCCTATTGAAATCGGTAGAGATTTCGATATAACTCCCACATATATTTTAATCCGATTTTATGTAGATGGAACACGAAATTTGGCATAGCACACTAAATTGAGTCTAGAATAAGTTTCGTGAAAATTGGTTCAGATTTAGATATTGCTCCCATATATATATTCGTCAGATTTTATGTACATGGTGCACCAATGACCCTGTATATCCTTCGATTTGCACGAAATTTAGCATAGCGTACTGGATTGAGTCTGGAATGTTGTGTGCTAAGTTGCGTAAAAATCAGTTTAGATTTAGATACAGCTCCCATATATAGTTTCGTCCGATTTTGTGTAAATGTTGCACCAAACTCCCAAGGCTTGTCCGATTGAGACACAATTTCGCAAAGCTTACTGAAATTAGTACAGGTTGTTGTACGTGATGTTATGTTGAAATCGGTTCAGATTAAGATTGAATGTAAATATCACACCAAACTCCCGATATTTGCCCGTTTGAAACAAAATGTTGCACAGCGTACTGAATTAGGTCCAAATTGATGTATGCAAAGTTTTGTGAAAATCGGTTCAGATTTATATACAGCTCCCATATATATTTTCCTCCGATTTAAGGTAAATGGTGCACCAAACTCCCAAGGCTTGTTCGACTGAGATAAAATTTCCCACATACTATCGAATTAGTTCCAGATTGATGTATGCGAAGTTTCGTTGAAATCGGTTCAGATTTATATATATATATATCTCCCATATATATTTGTGACCCATGAAACTCGCAATGATTGATGTATAGGAAGTTTTGTTGAAATAGGTTCAGATTTAGATATAGCTACTATATATATTTTCATTTGTCCAATTGAGACGAAATAAGGTCTAGATTGATATATGCATAGCGTATTGAATTAGGTACTGTGATGTTTTGTTGAAATCGGTTCAGATTTGGATATAGCTCCCATACATTTTTTCATCCGATTTCATGTAAATGGTGCACCAAACTGCCAAGGTTTGTCCAATTGAGACAAAATTTCTCACAGGTATTGAAATCGGTTCAGAATTAGGTTTAGGTCCCATATATAATTTAGTCCGATTTCATGTAAATTCACCAAACTCTCAATATTTGCCTGAATGAATATAGCTACCATAAATAATTTTACTCGATTTCATACAAAGTCTGTCCGACTGATACACATTTTTTATAGATTTTAAAATAACATGGGTTGATGTAAATTGCTTCAAATATCTATGTATATCATATATTTAATTTCGTACATTTCAATGGTCCTCCAAAGATGCTATGTTTGTTCTATCTAGAGGATATTGCATGTCAAAATATGGAACCGTATCAAAAATTATTGGCAAAGGTATTACCATTCAAGAAAACAGAATCCGCAATCCCATTGCGTTGGGAAAATTAAGAGACAATCTTAAAAATACTGAAAATAAGTCGGAATCTTTATATCAGGTTTATCTCCAAATATGAAACTATGTTTAATATTTTCTGCAAAAATTTCGTTTACCATCCAAGAGCTCGCAATCCAAAATTACAGTCAATTTGATGGAAACATTTGGCTAATCCTTTGAAATATCAAAAATGAAACGGAAGATCTATGCGGAAGCTATGTCAAAGCATTGAAATATATAAAAATTGTTCTGTAGAAATATTTATCAGCCTTCAGATACCGGAAAAGCCAAGCATTTCAGTATACCGAAAACGGTGCAGGGGTATGTGGAAATGTGTGTTTCACCCCCGAATAATTTGGAAATATTTGTAATCATCTAGGAACGTATAATGCCAAATTATAGCCACTTCGGTGCGAAAATGTGGTTAAAACAACATCAACAATGTCCCAAATGGTAGGGGACAATCATAGGACCCATCTATGACAGAACCGATAATTTTTAGTAGGTAGATTTGAAACCCAATAAGAACCAAAAAAATATTGAGGCAATTCGATTGAAAAATGTACCCAAGTTCCCAAACTAAAGAATATGTCGAGGTTTTGCAAACAGAATGACTAACTTATACCCTATACTACGAAAATATAAATCTGACATTAAACTCTAAAATATTAGAATAATGATTCAAACTAAAATAATGTACTAAAGTACTGAAATATACTAAATTTGGTAAAATTTTGTGGCATGCTAACGGATAGAGTTAAAAACTTGAAATTTGGAATGCAAATCAAGATTGAGAAGTAGGGTCAATATAAGAAGGTGATTTTGGAAGTGTATACTCCTGTATACGAAAAGTACTAAACTGTACTAAATTTGATACAATTTCAATTTGGAAAAAAGGGATGGAAAAAGATTACTGTTTGACTTTTAGATTGAGATATGGAAATTTCCACTTATGTGTACTAAATTTTGTACAATCTGGATTTGGGTGAACCGAAAGAGCTGGAATCCGGAAATTTGTAGTTAGGATCACTGTCAAGGTGTACAATTGGGGTATGTAGGCATTTTTGGAAATTAGTACTAAATGGTTCTAAATTTTGTACAATTAGATTTTTGGTGATACTATAGAGCTGGAATATTGAAATTTTGTAATAAGATTACTGTTGGAATATAGGATTGGTACAAATAAGTACAAATTTCCTACACTAAATTTGGTACAATTTGAATTTTTTTTATTGAGCTGAAATCCTGAAATCGGGAAATAAGAATTCTATTAGATGTATTATTATATAGGTAGTTTTTGAAATTTCTACTTATGTATACTAAATGGTACTTAATCTGGTACAATTTGGATTTTGGAGGACCGTTAGAACTGTAATCCTGAAATTTGGAGTTAGGATCACTGTAGGAGTATAGGGTTGTGTATGTGGGAAGTTTTGGAAATTCCTACTAAATGGTACTAAATTTGATACAATTTGGTTTTAAGTGAGCCGATAGAGCTGAAATCCTGAAATTTGGAATAAAGATTACAGTTGGAGTATATAAATTAGATATGTACATAGTTTTAGACATTCGTGCTTATGTGCACTAAATGGTACTAAATTTGACAACATTTTGCGTGAGCTGCAATTTGGAGTTAGGATCACTGTTGAGGTGTAGGATTTGGGTATATAGAATGTTTTGGTTTTGGTAATTTGTACTTATGTGTACTAAATGTTACAATTTGGATTTGGGTGAACCTATAGATCTCGAATTACGAAATGTGGAATTAGTTTTGGAAATAAAAACTGCAA